CATGCTTTGGTTTTATTGTCGAATGAACCAAGGAGCATGCGTTCACGTGTATCCAGTGACTGAACTGTAGAGGCGTATGTGATTTCATCAAGTCTTTCCGAAAAAGCGGTGTCGTGGCAACTCTATGATGGGTGAACCGTCATCTTGTTGAGGTAGTCTATTCATTCATCAGTGTCGGAGTTCTGCGCGGTGAAGCTGGGACATGAGCCGGAAACGGACAACTCACGCATACTCTAGACGTACCCCTAGCAGTTTGATACTTAACCATGCCGGTCAAACTATACAAACACTAAAGGTGTGAGTGAGTTACCCTCTTCAAAATAAGTCTTGTCTGATTCGTCCGAGTATCATCATATCGACTCTCGTAGAATACCTCCGAAGACCTCCACGATATGACTCATATTCGTTGTAGACGAGGATTCATGGATGTTGTAGGTGACCAGATTATTAAACCTCAGTTAGGTATGCTTCATACCGAAGCACAAGTTGGTACCCAATCGCCACTGTTAGCCACGAAAAGTCTTTGGCTCTTGGTACCTAATCCGGTCTCCTTGGTCCAACGCAGCCACTTGTGCTCATGAAACGTTCGGTCTCAACGGGAAGCATGAAAGCAGTAGTCATAGTTCGAGTGGTGACTAGTGTCTCGCCACGATTGCGTATGCTGTCCCCTGAGAAGCTAGGGTTGTCACTCTCTAGTTTCCCCCCACAAGAGTATGAGTCAAGGTCAGCTGGCAGAATCTCTCACTCGTAGTATATCACCCGTAGTGGACTCAGCTGAACGGCCAATGAAGATAGGACGGCAACCCGCAGTCGTGGTTGCAGGATATGCTAAAGAGACAGGAGGCAACTTGAATATGCTCTTGGAAATCCAAGCGAACATTATATCAAGCAGCCCCGAAGTCAAAGCCCGCATGGCGTGAGGTTTTCCCGGGTGGTAAGTTGCAGGTTGGGCGATGGCGGCAGATTTGAATAACAGCATATGCCAAGATTTCTGCAGTCTTCCGTCAGACGAGTCCTTGAAGAATACCTATCAGAAGGCAAAGAACTTAGTACCGCATAAACGCAATATACGTGGCATATCCTCAGCTATATAGCAGCCTCTCCTATACTCAAAACACCAACAGATGAAGTAATGGTGTAGCCGGCTGGGGTGTCTTCCCGTAATGGTGCGTGGAAAAGTCCAGGTCACTCACCAACTGCTTCTTAGTACCTTACAATGAGAATCGACTATCTAATAATCATGCGTGCAATCTTAGCGAGAAAGCAGCACCGTAAACTAACCATCTTACTCTGTACATAAGCCATGTGTGTCTATTTTACGCCGGCTGGTTAACGAGTTGATCAATCCAGCATGGAGGTTGCGACCAATAGCATCGACAATACTAACTGTTCTCACTTATGTCTATCACCACAAGAGCTTCCGAAGTCTATGTCATGGAATACATACCTAGTAGCCAACTCAACATATAAAATTACATTAGGATAATCTCAATATGCCTAGTAGGATTGATGATTATACTCTAGAGCCGCATTCTTTGCGAAAGGATAGAAGCCACTGACAGCCCCTATCTGACCCCTATTTGGTAAAAATAGTTAGATACCTACCTACATATACATAGATTGGCGACAACTATAGTTCCATCGACTTGGCACAAATCAAACTTCAAATTGCAAGATGATATCTTACATGCTTTGGTCAGCTTGGTTCCTTATTTCGTCAAGACTCTAATTATTCATTCCCAATGAAACGGGGCTGGAGGATCCAACGTCAGACCGAGAATAGGATAGACTCTCTTGCCACTGTATGGTTAGAAACGATGTAGGCCCCCTAAACGGCATTGCAGCTCCTTCTCGCTGAAACCTTATGCATCTTCTAGGGTGCACTGCTGACAATGCAGTTAATTGGGGGAGGCTGTTCATTGGATCGACGATCTGCGGCACATTCCTCCGGAGCCGAGTCGCAACCACTACCTAAACGAACTGCTCTCCGCTCTTGGATCTTATCGACCCAATACCAGGTATTCATTCTAGCCCTAGAATCAACTAGGCGATGGAATCCCATACACGGTCTTCGTGGTAGTAGAGGAAGCTGTGTAACGTCCTACCCTTAATATCTTGTAAACATTTACCGTCAAACTCGACGTTTCCTCCCCCGATTTTCGTTTCGAGTTATCGATAAAGACGTTTCTATATGTATATCAAACTGTCAACTAATTATATCCGCGTCGACTCTGGTCTATCACTTACGTTTCAACCTTCGGGACCGGCAGCGGTGACGGATTCAAGGGATCATGGCTTGGTATGTAAGAAGACAATACGGACGATGACAATATTACCTTCTATGGCATGCCCATGGGTCGAATACGCCACTCGGGTATAATTATATCTATAGAATGCAAGAGTTGTTGCAGAAGAAGCTCGCAATACGCTTCGAGCTAATCTTGGGTATCTGACTCTGTCGTCCTTGGGCTCAAGGTAGACAGAGTCATGCTAACCGCAATAGAAACACCTTTCAGATACAGTGTTGGCTTTCCCAGCCAGTTGGGCGCTACTTTTTTTGATGCATTGAGCAGCAAGGATTCCAAGGTAGTACGATGGCACCCAAGTAGAGCCTAATAGCTTAAGACCTTCACCATCTGGGCGTTTCGAGATCCCAGGAGGATCCCTATCAAAACAATTGCTCCCCGGGAAACAGCCCCGGCTCTCTATATAGAAACCCTCAGTCCTTGGAATCCTACGTCGTCGTACATACCCGAATTTTAGCGGAAATGGCCCGAGCCACGGTGGACGATGGCCTGCTCTCGGGCGGTTGCATATGTTCCGAATCTTTCTTGGTTGCGGTTCTGCCTTATAGACCCAGAAGCCACAACGCTGCCCTACCCTACTCAGCGCCCTACCGACTGGCACGTGGCAAGTCACCCTCAAGTCGATACCTCCCGAATGCCTCCTGAAGTCGGAGCCCGGGCGTCAATGCTTGGGTTCATTTAAGCTGCTGAACATGTTGCGGCATTAGTTGGTCACAAGGCACTCTGATAGCAGTGGACCTACCAGCACGATGACAATTGTAGCTTGCTTGCCATTGTCTATTTAAAAAGAGAGGGCCAAGTATCCAGGAATATTTGACCGAGTAGGTACCATCAGCCCTACCAGGACACTCCCGGGGTATAGCTCCACACCGATTCACTAGAGACACCGCCTCAAGTGCCATCCCTACTACCGACTCCTCCAACCTACTGGTTAAGCTTAGCATAAACTCGACTTCCAAGATTAGGTGGAACATGTCGTACAACGCTCAAGACTATGATAACTCTATTCACGGGCCGCTTCATGTAAGTTTCTGGCAGATCTAGATCCTACGAGATATATTCCAAAACCGAGGGCCCGAAAGGGGGGCCAGCTACCATCTATTTTTACGGAGATTTGCTGGTATTCCTTGCAGCCTTGTCGATTTTATAAGCAATTCGGATGCTTCCGATAACGTCCTAAAGAGCCAGTGATAGGACTACGCGGTAAATAAAACCAGGCTATCCGGACTTCATTCCATCGTGTTGATGCTCGGCACACTACTTCTCTCAACTACGTGAACTTCGAAACGTGGCGGCTGACTTCATCGACCGGATGGTATCATCAGAACATCTATCATCAACATTCATGTCTGACGAATCTTATTACAGGGGCCAACAGGCATCCCCAGAAGGCCATCATGTCTCATACAGTTCTTATCCAACTATCGTACCCAACAGGACTCCCGAGAGTCTCTTAGGCATTCAGGGACACTCGCTACCCCCTGCTCCGGCCCCGAGCCATTCGCATTATGTTATGGGCAGTCATAATCCGACAGACATGAATATCGGATCGTCCGGCGGGACACCATACACGACACATTCCGCGGACTCCTTTGGGCTTTCTTATTACCAGGCCGTGGCGCCCGAGTCCAGGACCATTGATACTACCGATACATACCACCACGCTTACCAGCAAGGTTATGGAACAGTTATGACGAGCCCGCCCGTCTCAACAGTATCGACCGGATCTAGCCACAGAAAATACAAGCATTCTTCACGATCAAAAAAGCCAAGACAGCAGTCAGTCCTGTCACCAGGAAGCACATCTTCGGCATCGAACTCGAGCAAATCTCGGCTTCGCAGTGCGTCCCGTACCAGCAAAAATACACACCATAACCCCCCGGCGACGGTGGAGGAGCAAAAGAGTCGAGATACACACAACCAGGTGGAGAAACAGTATCGGAACAGACTGAACGCGCACTTTGAAAGTCTTCTAGAGGCCCTTCCAGAAACCATGCAGGCTGGCGAGGGCGAGGATGAGGGGGAAGCTATGGACTTGTCTGACCGTAGAGTGAGCAAGGCAGAAGTTCTCGACATGGCTCGGCGGCATATCCAAACTCTGGAACGCGAATGCGCGGCACTAGAAGGGGAAAGAGATGAGCTGAGGAACAACATGGAAAGGCTACGATGGTTGTTTGGACGGTGCGAAGGCGATGGCTTCAATCCCCAGGTGAATTTCCAAGACCCTGGGGGATTACCATGAATATTGCCATGATCATCAATTCGGAGGCGGGAAAGGGGGAAAGGGGGTAGCCGGGATAGGGCGGAGATACGCAATCCAGACCGAACAATTTTCGATTCTTGTACCAGTATTAGAGCGGGTCTGGAGTTAATGGATTAAGGAGTGTGTTGAAAGTCAGGAACTTCAACCCGACATGTACCTGGGTATATTTTTGGAATTTTCATTGACATACCCGACTTGTAATTGGATCGTGAGAATTACGATACCTATCAATATCCACCGAGACACTCAGAGTGACGTCGCAGACGCTTACCATTACTACAAAGACCTACAGGAATCATGTTGTTTGAAATATGCCTTATCCAAAGGCAACTGTATGCGAGTCTTGTCATGTTAAAAAAGGAAGAAGAAAGATGACCCCCGGTTTCTGAACCATCTGAAGAGTTGAGTGATTTATGAAATTCTTAGAATATAGTACATATAAATACCTAGGTAATTGCCTAGGTATTTCGGCAGCAAATTGATGATGATACCCTGATGACGTCGACCCACTTCTTAAACTACTAGGTACTACCGCGGAACGGGTGCTACTTTCTTCACCTAAGAACTCAAAAAATATCGCACTAATAGGCAATTTTAACTAGGATTTATATTTGTAGGTAACATAAGGCAGGGCTAAGTTCGGTATAACTGCCGTAGGTCGCAACCGAGATCCATCCCTCTCACCTAGCTGTACCATGGCCAACAGGAGGATTCTCGTTATCGCGGGGAGTGATTCCAGCGGTGGTGCGTAAGTTCATGATCTCCCCCCTAGGTCAACCCCAAGACACGACCAAACACAGCCAGACACAAATAAACAAAACAAAACAAAACACTCGCTAACGGCCCCTCTCGGCCAAATTAATCAGCGGCCTGGAGGCCGACCAGAAAGTCATCGCTGCTCATGGCTGCTATGCCATGACCGCTACCACTGCTTTGACTGCTCAAAATACGACGGGAGTCGACGACATACATTACGTCCCTCCCGAGTTCGTAAGGAAGCAGATCGATGCTGTTTTCAGGGATATTCAGCCCTGCGTCGTGAAAACTGGTAGGTCAGATCATGTTGATCTGCCATGTTCAGGGGCTTATCGGGATTCCGTTTAAGGGATGCTTGCGTCTGCGCGTACCATCGAAATAGTTGCAGAAGCATTGAAGGAATATGAAGTCGGGAGGTTGGTATTGGATCCTGTAAGTCTCCTTGGATAATGAATAATATCGCTTATACTTAGACTTTCTTGGAATCTTAACTCTGGATAGGTCATGGTCGCGACTACTGGCGCTCAATTACTTCCTTCAAAAGCTGTGAACGAGCTACGAACTCTGCTCCTGCCTCGGACATTCATACTTACCCCAAATATTCCCGAGGCCCAACTCCTGCTCTCCGATGGCGGGAAAGAAAGTATCGACATTCAAAGCGTTGAAGACCTGGAAGTGATCGCCCAAGGAGTACTGGAATTAGGACCTAAGTGGATTCTCATCAAAGGCGGGCATGTTCCCTTCAAAAAAGACGGCTCCGTAGCTACGACCCCTGAAGAAAGGGAACTCGTCGTTGATCTCTTGCTCGGAGAAGGCCAGGCTACGAGAATCGAGAGCCCATATATCGAGTCGAAGAACACGCACGGAACAGGATGCTCGCTGGCTTCTGCCATTGCCTCAAACCTCTCTAGTGGACTGAAACCCGTGGAATCTGTCCGAGCTGCTTGTCGATATGTCGAGGCTGGCATCAAATCCGCACCTGGATATGGGAAAGGGAATGGTCCGATTAACCATTTCCATTCGGTTTTGACGCTCCCCTTTTCTCCGTAAGTCCGCAAACTTAATTGAGTCTAATCGTATTTGTACTGAGTACGAGCAGTGGGCATTTTATAGACTATCTCCTCGAGCGGCCTGATGTATCGCCGGTATGGCAGCGTTTTATCAACCATCCATTCGTGCTCGGCCTCGGGAACGGAGAGCTGCCACTTGCATCATTTAAGGGTTATTTGATACAAGACTACCTGTACTTAGTCCAATTCGCCAGGGCAAATGCACTAGCATCGTACAAGTCTAAGAATATGGAGGATATCGCAGCGGTCGGTACCCGTCTAGTAAAAACGCAACTCGAAGCTGACGCTGATTGTAGGGGGCAAAAATAGTGTCGCATATCCATACCGAGATGAGACTGCACGTTGACTATTGCAAGGAATTCGGCATATCGAAAGAGGAGATGGAAGCGACCGAGGAGCTTCAAGGTATGTAATACCCAACCTTCTTACCCCCCTCCCTGCTGATTAGATATCTAGCATGTACGGCGTACACAAGATACGTTCTGGATATTGGGCAGTCGGAAGATTGGCTTGGTCTTCAGGTCGCTCTTGCTCCCTGCCTCCTTGGTTACGGGGCTATCGCGAGATATCTTCACGACGACCCAAGAACGAAGACAGAGGGCAATACATACTGGAAGTGGGTCCTGAACTATGTTGCAGAGGACTATGTGCAAGCGGTAAAGACCGGATCTGGTGAGTATCCCATGCGCCTTATGGAGTCAGGTCCGCTGAATATTGACATATATATCGTCGATAGATCTGATGGAAAGGAATGCCGTCTTACAGTCTCCGTCGAGGATAGAAGAGCTTGTCAAAATCTTCATCCACGCCACTAAGGTAAGATACTTGAAGCCAATGGTATTATCTTGTACTGACACAGTAACAGATGGAGATCGGGTTCTGGGAAATGTTCCCGTCGGCTTAACGCGTCATGAAGTTCATATAATTGGTGCACGATAGAATAAAAAGGCAAGCATCTGACGCGAATAGATGAATGATGAAGGGCATGTATGTATCATGAATAAAATAACACAGACCTGACATTATTATATGTTGACCCGGAGTTCAAGTTATGTACCTCAGTATTCATGCTTTCTCGTCCAAGACAATCCCAGACATTCCTATTTCCCAAGCGACATGGCCTTTCGAGGGAGTTAGATACAATTTAATAACACTGCGGCCGATTGCGTTGGATTGCATTTGAAATATTATACCCGTCAAAAGATACCTAGGTACTTGTGTATGAGCCTGAAGAGATGCTTCGGGTGTCGGGTGTTCTGTGGATGTCTTCATACGGAGGTTGGGTGCACAATACTAGGTGAACAGTGGATGAGTAATATTGTGCTTCTGCTTGTGCTTGTTGAGTAAAATGGTGAATGGCCAACCGGCTGCCAGTCGTTGGTGCTCAGCTGACAGCTGTCAGCTACGGGTAAAAACTAAGTACCGTGGTACTAATTCTCACGCCTTTCCGCTTTCGGGTGGGTACTTTAGTACGCGAGGCAAAAAAAAAATTGCGACCGCACGGTCCACATCACAAGGTAGCGGTGTTTAGCGTTGTTGGGCCTAGACTGCCGTTCCTATCTAAACTAAGAAAAAAAAATATTCTACTTGAATCAGGGTTCGTCTTGTCTTCATAAATTCATCACCAAGACTTTCTTTCCATTTCGTGTCTTCCCATTCCATTTACTCCCACTCTCCGCTCCTTTTTTTCACGCAGATCGCACGCTGCGTTCACGTCGTATATCATCCGCTCAATTAATTATCTTCCCTTGGAAGACAGGTTTTCTCGTGTAATCAATTTGCGACCAGCATTTCCCCCATTTTGAATCCTTCAAAAGTCGTCTCTCAACATACACGAAAACATCATGTCTTACGGCGGCGGTGGTTACGGCTCCCGTAGCGGCGGCGGCCATGGAGGCCACGGAGGTTACTCTAACGGCCACAACAAGTATGGAGGTGGTGGTCACGGTGAAGGTCACGGTCGTCAGGACTACGGCCATGGGTAAGCATTGCTCTTCAATCCCTTGCTATTCTATGATCCTCCCTCTTCCCTCCTTTTTTTACATCATTCTTATTTTCTCATACATTTACTGACATGTTTATTTACAGCAACAGCTATGGTAACGGTGGGGGCTACGGAGGTGGCTACGGTGGTGGAGGCGGCGGCGGTGACCGCATGTCCAACCTCGGAGCTGGTCTACACAAGCAGGACTGGGGTGAGTATCTCTAATATGCCTATCATTTAATATCCAACTAACCCGTCTATCTCCAGATCTTAGCAGCCTCCCCAAGTTCGAGAAGTCCTTCTATAAGGAAGATGACGCCGTCGCGCGGCGACCTGCTAGCGAAGTCGAGCGATTTCGCCGAGATCACCAGATTACCATCTCTGGTACCAATGTTCCCAAGCCTGTCGAGACTTTCGACGAGGCAGGCTTTCCTCGATACGTGATGGACGAGGTTAAGGCGCAGGGTTTTCCCGCTCCCACTGCCATTCAGTCTCAAGGTTGGCCAATGGCTCTTTCCGGTCGTGACGTCGTCGGTATTGCCGAGACAGGCTCTGGAAAGACCCTTACCTACTGTCTTCCTGCCATTGTCCACATCAACGCCCAGCCTCTCTTGGCACCTGGCGATGGCCCTATCGTCCTTGTTCTTGCCCCGACGCGTGAACTGGCTGTTCAGATTCAGCAAGAGATCACCAAGTTCGGAAAGTCCTCTCGTATCCGCAACACCTGCGTTTACGGCGGTGTTCCTCGTGGTCCTCAAATCCGAGATCTGACTAAAGGTGTTGAGGTTTGTATCGCCACTCCTGGACGTTTGATCGACATGCTTGAAGGTGGCAAGACCAACCTTCGCCGAGTAACCTACCTGGTCCTTGACGAAGCCGACCGCATGTTGGATATGGGTTTCGAGCCCCAGATTCGTAAGATCATTAGTCAAATTCGTCCTGACCGTCAGACGCTCATGTGGTCTGCAACCTGGCCCAAGGAAGTTCGCGCTTTAGCCGCCGAATTCCAAACCGACTTCATCCAGGTCAACATTGGTTCGATGGATTTGTCTGCTAACCATCGTATTACCCAAATTGTTGAGGTTGTATCTGAGGCTGAGAAGCGTGATCGTATGATTAAACATCTCGAGAAAATCATGGACGACAAGGAAAACAAGGCCCTACTTTTCGTTGGTACTAAACGAACAGCAGACGAGATTACGCGATTCCTCCGCCAAGACGGTTGGCCCGCACTTTGTAAGTTCATACATGTCTTGTTCCGAGTATGAGATGGGACTAACCTATTACCAGCGATTCATGGCGACAAACAACAGAACGAACGCGACTGGGTTCTCGACCAGTTCAAGACTGGAAAGAGTCCTATCATGGTTGCCACAGACGTTGCTTCCCGTGGTATTGGTATGATTGCATTTCCCCCTCCCCCTTCACCCCTTCGTAGCAACTTCCAGCAGAGATATCATGTCCGCTGTGCTCTATTCTCATGTGTAGGGGCTTTCTCGATTGCGCGCACTTGCCTGATCTCCCATTGTGTCTCGTGGTTCTCATCCATCCAGGAAATTTGGGGTTAATAAGTATAATGGAGGCGCCATACTCTTATTCCGCTGTTGTACCTTCATGTCCCCGTGGTACAATTGCGGAGTTGGCAATTCTTGAATCTTTCAAGCCGTCTCCTGACTCCCAGATCCTAGGACCCAGACCGGACAGTTGGAATTCATCCAAAATGGCATGTTGATGCAACAGACAGCCCCATTCTCTAAGGAGAAAAAGCACGGAAAATATACTTAGGCACCGTCCGTCCGTCGCTGGGACTTGTTATGTAGATCATTTCTTTTTTGTTTCGCTTTGGCTAACCTGAAGTTGTAATGAAGATGTGCGCAACATCACTCATGTGATCAACTATGACTACCCGAACAACTCGGAAGACTACATCCATCGTATCGGCCGAACTGGTCGTGCTGGCGCCAAGGGAACCGCCATTACTCTCTTTACTGCTGACAGTAAGTTACCATGTCCGCCAGTTTTACATGGTCGTCAACTAACACCGTGTTTTAGATTCTAAGCAGGCTCGTGACTTAGTCTCGGTTCTTCAAGAAGCTAAACAGCAAATTGATCCCCGACTACATGAGATGGCCCGCTACGGCGGTGGTGGAGGAGGAGGCCGATTCGGCGGACGAGGCTACGGTCGAGGTGGACACCGAGGTATGTTCTAGTCTCCTCTTTCCATATCAATTAATACTAACGTATATGTTTTTATTAGGCGGCGGCGACAGAGGTGGCGGTGCTAACGCCATGCCCATCAACAACCGACGATGGTGATAATCTCTTCATCACCAAGACTCCGTTTTTGGCATGGAACCATCCATACATAATATGATGGTTGTGGGGTATCCGTGAAACATTGCATTTTCTTCTTTCCTTCCCTGCACATATGCACAGGTGGCGTTACGTCTAGAGGTACGGATGCTTAGATGTCGTTCGGATTGACACTATGAGAAGTGTCTACGCATCTCTTCATTGAGATCCGCAAAACAGTTCTTCTCCTAATTTCACCCAGAGATTCACAGGGCCGACGTGTGCCCAAGTCAATGGCATCCCACCAGCCAGGAGCCGCAAATCGCAGGACATGTATCAAAGTGGACGAAGTCCGCCTAACTTTTTGCAAGGGCATTTTCTGATCTTGGTCTTCACACTACTGGCCCATTTCTCGACTGCTAGGTCAAGAGAAAGGTATGTTGCTGACTCCCCACAGATTAGAGATGTTCTATAAGACCTACTTTTGGGTTCCATGTTAAGTTAGGCCCTTCCCCATCCGTCGGTTTTGTTCTCATTAGGAGGCAATACAAAGACTAGGTAGCATGAATCAAGGACTATGTTAACAGATTGTTGCACAATGCCATGGTGAATTCGAAGGCGTTGGAGATGCCTCCAGGACGGATGTTTTGTCAGCTCTTGCAAAGCTAGGACTCTATTCTTGGATAGTTGCGTCATCTGCGCAGTTTCTTCGGTGGTATTGCCGACTATATCTGCAAGAAAGACTGCATGGAGTTCCTTTGTGATCATCTGAGTGGCTCTTCCAATATAACCGATAATGACTTCTTTTTACCCGCAAACACAGGGATGACTTCCCCATACCCGGGAACCGCAACGACATATTCCGTCTCGGTTTAGGCCTCTACAGTTTCCCCCTGGCGACGTTTCTATAAGATGACGCCCTTCCTCGACTTTGAGCCGCCTCGGCGTAGCTATTTTGAATGCTGGCCTTTATAGTAAGACTTGTTATCTTTGTCTTCCTCGCGACCACTTGCTGCCTTTTTCAACTATTAAGGACCTTATATAATCTTATTTTCTTAAAAGTTTGCTTCCACAATCATGAAAGTCACTACGACGTTCGCGTTTCTCGCGGCCGGCGTCCAGGCTGCTCCGCATTGTACGTAAATTCGATTCTTCGTACATCTATAATGTTTATATTTTTTATATGTCATGATAATATCGCCATTTACATGAAAGTTACCTCTCATGTCATGTCGTATCATGCCATCTCATTTCATATCACGTCGCATCATAAAAATCTACTTTGACTTTATCTGATGATGGTTTTTTTCCTCAGATACCTTCCCGAAGCTAGCTGGCACGTCGGATTGGTCTTCGGTCCGGCAGACGGCTAACTTTCAGTCCAACGGCCCCGTGACTGACGTCAACTCGGACGCGATCCGGTGCTACGAGAGGGCCCCGGGAGGCGCCCCCGATACCACGGACGTCAAGGCCGGAGGGCAGATCACTTGGGTGGCTGCTCCGAACATCTACCACCCCGGAGGGTACGTATGGAGACAACCTACGCCAAGACGTAGATTTACCTACCTCACACTTGTGTCTTTGGCTGGGTAGGGACGTTTTTTGCTGGTAGTATTAAGACTAACGTGTTTATTTGCAGTACGTTTACATTTTGCCTCGTAATATATCTATATATATGAAGGCCTGGTGATTCAGAGCCTTCGTATAAATGGAAAGATATAGGATAGGCCGAGATGAATTACGTTACTAATACCGATACTGTTCATTAGCCCTTTCTGCCTACATGGCTAAGGTGCCCGAGGGCCAGACGGCCGCGGACTTCGACGGCGCTGGAGCCGTGTGGTTCAAGGTGTACCAGGATATGCCGACGACGTCGGGCGGACAATACACATGGCCGTCGAACGGTACGCTTCCCCTTTCTTTTACATTGCCTTTCTCTTCCCTCTGCGCTCACTTTTACTACTTGCCTACCTACCTGCCTTCCATTTACTTCCACCTCAACCTCAACCTCTAACTCTAAAATTTCCCTAAACGTCTACACGACTACAAACCATCATCATCCGCCTACCTACCTACCTAGCTAACCACCATACTCACCTCCCCCTATAGGCAAAGCCGAAATCCCCTTCACCATCCCCCAATGCCTCGCGGACGGCGAGTACCTGTTCCGGATCGAGCACGTGGCGCTGCACTCGGCGTCGGCGGCGGGCGGCGCGCAGTTCTACATCTCGTGCGCGCAGGTGCGCGTCAGCGGCGGCTCGGGCACCGCGCAGCCCAGCGAACTCGTTTCTTTCCCCGGAGCGTACAAGGCGACCGACCCGGGACTCATGATTAACATTTACAACAACGGCGGTAAGGCGTATCAGCCGGCGGGGCCGGGGGTGTTTACTTGTTAGGTTAGGGGTTGGGGGGGAGCGGGTCGATGAAGAACGGGGAGAGGAGAGGAGAGGAGAGGATGAAAGGGGTGCTGGGTTCGTTCAGCTGGTTACGCGTACGCGGTGAGCGATCGAGATAACATCGCAGCTCTGAGGCTGGATGTGGGTTAGTTAGTCGGGTAGTTCAGGTCGAGCGCGCACGCAATACATACTTAACTAGGCAATGGGGTATTATCGTGATATGCCTTTGCATAGGCCTACCCTACGTAAGATACGTAATATTGCATCGAAGATCGAGGACCCGATAGTATAGGTAGAACGAAGCTGGCGAACTTTCCTTAGCTATGTAATTTATCCCCCAGTGATCGACGACTACGGTGATGATCTCTCGGTAATTTTCATATATTAGCTTCGTTCGAGACCGCTAGCTTGGGAGAGCTTCTAGGTAGAAGGTAGCTTTTTTTCACATGCTCCTCGCGGACCGAATCCCTCGGGGGGGCATGCTACAGATATCGATCGCTTAGGTACCTTAGCTGGTATCCGCCCGGCTGTCGAGTATTATCGACATAGTGGCGTCATGTCTTCGGGCTTTCGAATTCCTATCAGAGGCATAAAATTCCACGTAGGTTTCAAGGACAGGTGCCGTAAATTCAGCAGCGCGTTTCATATCGGCCGATTTTCCATGAGCTTCCTTTTGGGACTATTCCTCTCGGTTATGCGGCCAAGTTTTTTTCCAACTCTCGCGTGGTTTTACGAGTCAGCTTAGCCGGGTGTAACGATAAACTTGATATAATGAACATACGAGAAGATGATACGGAATTTCTATTTACGCCATCCTCATCCTTTCTGACCACAAAGGTTACTCAAGTCTTGCAAATGAGTGTAGGTATTGAGCGGGTTTTTGTCATGAGCATCAAATATGTACCTAACAACTGCCTAGCCTCCAGGAAGTGGAAATCGAGCTCCCACAGTCTAGTGACTATTTGCATACCTACCCACTCGATATAATCTACTAATTTATTAGCACATATTAAATTTCCGTAATATGTCTGAGGGTCCAAAGGCACACATATTTGCGATGTATATATCAATTCTCAGCTATGCCTATACATGATAGTCGTTCTTTATTGAGCAGCAATTGGGTTAGTATAATCGATTCTATAATTTCACTAAGCCTAAAGCTTTAAGATACTATCTGCTTGCCTAACCCACGATCGCCTATCGCAATTTAAAGCCTTGAAGTTATAATCTTGGGCCAGCAATGGTTGTCCGTATTAGTTTCCTATAGTCACTTACATGAATATATATATATACTTGGATTCGATGATTATAAATTGTTGAGGCCTCGGCACATGATCTATTCAAAAAATGAAGGGTTCGTTAAAAAGTGTCAATATTTAATATTAGGGCATTGCAAAAATTTCCGTTATTAGCGCCACACTATCCCCCTATCTTAGTTGGGGGGAGATGCCACCAAAGTAAATAGGATAGATTCGTAATTTGCATCCCAATTAGATTAGTACATCTAGCACAAAGAGGAAAATGAACTTAGTGTACAAATATTCCGTCGTCCTTGGAATGATTTGATTATGGGCGTAATTTGTTACGAAGGATGCTGATGAATCTTGAAACTGACAGATAAAATATACCTCCAAACAAGCGATATCAGAAATAGTAAGCTCAGTATTTGTTAGCTAGTCAACTGAAGTCTACTTAGCACTCAAGGCATTAAAGTTAAGTTCACGGCTGTGTGAGGTTTAAATCTTGGATACACGAAGGTACCTCGTAAATTAAGTTTGCTAAGATATTAGGCACGACCCGAGAGTAAATATAGCTCGACCTAGAAAAAGCAAAGTCTATTCGCAAACTACCGAAGCTAAAACATCCAAAATACATTCTAAAATACCTTCTATACGTACCCGTGACAGTTAACGTGTACTATACACACATACCGGCATGTGCTCATCGTGGTCTTTCGATTTCGAATCTTACATATCGTGTCATCTGAAACCGAAAGCTCTCACCAAGAGCCTCATCTGACTACGCCCGCATGTCACGTATCTCGCTTTTTCTTAGCCGAGCAAATTCCCTTACACCTTTGCCGCCCCTTCGGATATGGGACGGCAATGCGAAAATGCTCGAGAGCCTGACCCGACCAATTGGACTTTCCAACGTCGTTTATGTCCGAGAAGGTGAGAGATTTCCGGAAACCTGGGGAATAACGAGATCGAAAAAAAAACAGCAAACAGAAAAGAATAAGCACAAGAAGAAGAAAGTAGGTAGGCAAAAAAAAAAAGGGTCAAGGATTTGTTTGCCTCCATACATACCATGTTGGTTGCTTGTCACATATATCTCACCTGCAGAATATCTTACAATGTGGCTTTTCACGGCATTGACAACAAATAAAAAAGGAAGGCATCTCGTAATGACCAGTCAAATAAAACGATACAAAAGTCGTCTAAGTGACACACCAGATTGTTGGCCTGAATAAGCCCAGTTTCGTTGTAATATGCAAGCCACAGTGAATCCAGTCACCCTAATGGACACCTCCCTCTACGATTGGTTTTACCCCGGGCTACCCTACTTGACAGCGATCTAGAAAGCGCCCTGGAATCATTTTGACCGACTTTGCGGGTTGGAAAGCGCTGAGAGAAGTGACACAGCATTGACGAGCTGACAACTGGAATCTGGTTGGACGCACAGCCTAGATCTCGAGAGACGTCATATGACCTCGACAGAACGTCCACGCCACTCATACCGCTCGTCCGTTTCAAGCCAGGGAGAGAGGGACAGAGAGCGGGAGGGAGGGAAAGGCAAAATTTTTTTACGACTCCTCTATTTACCTACGGGGCGATATTCAGAGAATTGCGGTCGGAATTCATTTCCCCAATTGCAAATTGTCGGAGACGTACGTCTTTTGCTTCTTTAGATTGATTGCCTCTCAATTGCCTCTTCATGGTATCCCGGCTTCGGCATCCCCGTTCGGGAGATGGATCCGACGAAATTTTTTTTTTCAAATAAAAAATCAAAAACTCAAAATATTGGCAGTCATGAACCTGTGGCGTCGTAGAGCTGAATGGCAACAAAGGAGAGGCGACGATTTGGAACGGAGCTGAAATGGTTTTCCCTAGTACCTTTTTTTTAATGCCGGATCTTCGCAAAATAGGGGATCTGATTCTTTTATGCTACTTGTAAAACTTTGATCGGCCCGGCGAATAAGTTTCTCCTCTTTTCTTAGCTACGTACGATGCCATTACGACTAGAGACGGCTAATTTTCTCCGCAATGGCCTAGGTGAGGCCCGCGACCCGGAGGTAAGGGGAAAGGGTAGAAAAGAAAACCACACGTATTTGGAGTGCACATGTCAAGTTCGGGCGGGTTGGCCGGAAGGCACTAGGGAGAGGCGGAATGGCAAAGAAGAGATGGCATGATATATCGGATTGTCTCCGCTTGACACAAGTACCCAGGTAAAACTCAAGTATCAAACTGGACGGCTTCGAGAAATACCTAGCTACCGTAGTAGGCAATTAGATGTCATCAACCTGCTCTTCGCTGTCACACCTCTGTAGCTCTTCATACCAAAACAGCAATTGGATACATATAAAGCCCCTCTTTTCTGGCAGGAGTGTGTTTGAGGAGTTTTCCGTGCTCCGTACCATACCATGGACCGGCTCTGCGCAACCACTAAGGAGGTGAAGTTCCTGGAGGCCGGGAAAAGATACGACGCGGGTACGTATACGGTAGAGCTGGTAGAGTCATTGATTTTAAAAAAAGGCATGAATGCGGTTGACGTCAATGGCGTTCGAGACCGCTCTATGGGCCCTTAACTCTCGTCGTTACCCTTGCAATGCTACCGGCTATTTCCTGCTTTTCTTGAAATTTGTTATCCACTGTGGGCTTGTCCACATGCTGTTCGTGGGTGGCAGCTGGGGTTTTCAATTATCTAGAGGATTTAATGGTCTTAGCAGTCACGTCGTCAGTCGATATCCCTACAGCTGAAAGGTTCGTGGTTTAGAGTGATCGGCGCCTGCATTCTTGGCAACAGGGTTGTTAGAGATCTGCTTTCCACATCGGTCGATCTGATATTCCCAATACATCTGTGAATATGCTCACTTCAGAAAGAGGATTCTACTATGCAACTGAATAGCAAGCTTTTCCCTTCGTAGCCGCCGTACGACTGAATACGTCTGGGTTTCCGGGATACTTTCTTGGATTGGCGGTTGTATCGGTGTTTTATTCGTACAGATTTCGGCCAGGTCATGACACCATACTCGCGCGTATTGGCGAGTAGGGTCCGACATGTAAGTATGATCACGATGTTGAAATTATCCCTCAGACGTATCCGCAATGGAGGTATTGTAAACGGGCCTGAAGGACGGATATGGTAGTGATTTGAGGTAGCTATTGGTGATTTAATTACTGCATCATTCAGCTGGGCATCAGGGTCCTTTGATTTCAATTCTGGTCGGCGGTTGCTTTACGCGGTAGAGCGCTAATCCGTTTGAGGGACATTCATTCAATCTCGAGATTCGAGAGAGCTTCAGGGCAGAGATCTCAACGAATGAAGCACCCATTATTGTTATCGACGCAGCTGCCAACTAGGTATAGGCTGTTACGGCTGAAACACTAAGACATGCTTATTGCTTAAAGCCTTCGATGCCCCGGATCTTGCTGCTGTCTCGAACGGTGTTAGCGAGACACAGGTCCAAGTCGCGCTAACGCGACTCCATAACATTAACGAGACCCAGCTATGTAAGGCATGCGGAATCGACGCAGGACCCTGAGACTCCTCCTGAGCTTGAATAGGTATGTCGGTGATGATGATGCGCCCTCGTAAATACATACGGTACGAGTGACTCTCAACCCTCGTATTCGTGCGTTGGAAATTGAATTATGTAACGACATGGGATCGTATCAGTAAGCACGGTAAGATAATCCGAAAGGGTCCACTCCCGCTGGTTGTTCGGGTTGGAATTAATCCCTTTAACCCGAGACTTGGATGGCTGGCCCATGCGCCCCTGAACCTCCAATTCAGTCAAAGGTCGTGGCTTGCCGCTAGGCGCCAGTGGGCTTGACCGTCGTCGAATTTGAGAGCTTCGTTTTGTTCGCTACCAGAGCGACGGGTGAGACTAATCAACTTGGCCCTGTGGGGAATGAAAATAGCCGAAGAGATAGATCCCAAAGTGATGTGACCCGATGCACGGGCTCAAGCAAAATGATTGGTACCTAATTGAGAGACATGAGTGCCTAGCGCCCAGTTGTAAGATCACTGATTTGGATGGATCTGAGATCTCTTTACCCAACTCAGACCTTGGAGTTATCACGCATTCCTATTCGTGACTTGATAGGGAGCTAAATCACGACATTGTCCCCCTTATCGCCTTCGGCGATGATGAATAATGGGCACTATACTAGGTATTTGCCGCTATAAATGTTGGGTATGTAGCAGTGCGCCATAGTTGAAAGTGTGCCGTTCGAATAGGGTAAAATTCTCCCCAGAGAGAAGGTGGAAAGACATTGCATAGCAACAGATCATGCCATGCCCCAAAAATCTCGAAGGAATGAGTGCCGAAAAAGGTTCAATGGGCAAAAGGAAAA